GCCCCAGGACCCTTACAGCCAGGACTGAGTGTGTGTGCTACTAGGTGGGTTGGCAAGATGGGAAGAAGGGAGACAACTCCTGTAACTGATGGGCAGGGGGTACCAGGAGGCAACTAAAGTCAGTCAGTGGCACCCACTGTGATCACTGCCTTGGATCACTGTACCCGGCCGGGCCTGGGCAGCTTCAGGGTGATTCAGACGTCAGCCCCTTGAACACAGAGACCTCATCCACGACAGAATCATAGCTGCCAGCTCCCAAGCAGTCTCAGGTTCCCACCCCTTCCCATGGGATCTGGATGCATCCATCATCAGCCTAGCACTTCAGGGGGCCAGGCATTGAGGTTTCCCTCTCTCTCTCTCTCTCTCTCTCTCTCTCTCTCTCTCTCTCTCATTTGCTGAGAAGCCCCCCACCCAACACCTTGCATCTTCTGAGGAGCCCAAAATGCAGCTGCTGATTGATTTGAAGCTAAGCTAAAAATAGCCACTGGCTCCAGCCAGGGCCAGGGGAAAATATCCCATTGCTAGGAAACGACCGTTGCTGGGAGACGGCCATCACTAGGCGACGCGTGCTGCTGAGGTGACAGCTGGGCCCTGAGTCATCCTCAGCCTTGACAGGGGGTGAGGCAGGCCAGAGCACAGGCCAGCAGAAAACCTTGGTGCCCTCACCCTGTCATCAGGGCCATCGGACAACAGATGCCCCATCTGCTTCTCTCTGGAGCTCTTGAGCTTCTCAATCAGGGTAGGGACAGGGCAGAAGAAAAGGAGAGGGTGCAGGAGTCTAGGTGGGGAAAGGAAGAGAAATGGGAATGGGCACAGGGTAAGTAATGGAGGGAGAGATAGAAAAAGAGGGTAGAGAGGATCAGGGGCACAAAGTGCCTATCCGGTCTCAGGATGGATTGCTCACCAATACTGTGCTAAAACATTCAGAGCATACCTCCTTAGAGCCCAGCCACATTTCCCACAAGGGGTTCTGTGAGGGAACTACCTGAGGAGGATTTGGCACAGCCATGTATCTCCCAAGCACCCTCTCCACACCAGAGCCTCACAAGGACATGCCTGAGGACCTCCAGTGGTGAGATTTAGGGAAGGAGTAAAGTTATCACTCTAGGCCTAGGGAGTGCTCTCTGGTGCTCGCTTAGCCCCCTGTCTCTGAGCCAAAGGTGCCAGCAGCCTTAGTCCTCATCTCCCCCCTCACTGTAGGGTTGAACCCCAGCAGCCTGGGCAGGATACAGTCTTCTGTGCTCTGATATCAAGGTGAGGGTGATGAAGGTGGGGATAGTTTTAGATGAGGGGGTGTCTCAAGAGAAGGGTGCTCCAAGAAAGAAGGGTTCCAGGTAATGAGTGATCCCACTGAGGGTGCTCCAGGTGAAGGGTTCTCCAGCTAAGAGTGTTTCAGTTCAAGGGTGCTCCAGTTGAGGGTGTTTCAAGTGAGGGGTCCTCCAGGTGAGAGCGCTTCTCTTTGAGGGGCGCTGCACTGACAGACACTTCACATGCCCTTAGGAACCAAGGTCACAGATGCTCCCGGATCAGTCCCTGGAGACTAGCCCAGGAAGAGAGCATCCTAGTCGAACTAGTCCCACAGGCTACCCCATATGTGGAGGAGACGAAAAGTCCCCTGTGCTGTCAGCTGGACCTTGCCTGACACACTTCTCTCAGGACATAAGATGTTCCAAAAGCATCATCTGGGCACGCAATGGAAGGTGCTTCTAAAGCCAGCTTCCCCATCCAAAGGACTGTGTGTGTGTGTGTGTGTGTGTGTGTGTGTGTGTGTGTGCGCGCGCGCGCCTCCCTTGTGCTCTGCTGGGTGCCCACAGAATCCTACCCTGGCCCTCCAGGGCTTGTGTCAGCCACCGGCCCGCTGTAACTGTGCCATCAGAGAGCCAGTAGGCCCAGGCTTGGTGTTGTGGGCAGACGTGAAACTGAAAGCTCCTAGGGAGGATATTTGCCAAGTCTGAGAGTCAAATGGATAATCCAGGGACAGGTGACGAGAGGCTGCTCCAGGTGAGTGTGAGGTGAGAGAGAGAGAATCAGGTGCGTGCTCTGGGAGGATGGTAGAGGGACACAGGTGGGCCTCCATGTGGGGAGACAGGAAAGGCCCCCGAGCAGTGCTCAGTAACCTCCTAAGTGTCCTCAAAAACTGTGCCACCATGTGCCTGGGCCTCCCTCTACACGGACACAGCCTTTACACTTGGGTGTGCTCACCATATATGCCCAAGCCCAGGCACGCATCCCAGTGTTGGTGCAGGCTTTACCACAAGCAGGGGAAAACCAATCAGGGTGAGTACGGATGAATCTCGGCTGGGTCCAAGTGATTGTAAACCGACTCCGGACCAAAACTTCTAGCGTCTGGCCCAGATCATTCTACTTTAGCCATAGGTAAGCACAGCCCAATTTTGGAATAAAGTATTCAGATAACAATGACCTCAGACGAGTGCACCACAATTTAAGACAATTCGTTACAAAGTACATCTGGCTTCTGTCACAAGAGTAGGTTCTGTTGAACTGTTGACACAGAGACGGTGCCCAAGATTTAGGGTCTAGGGAGCTTGACAGAGGTCAGCATAAGGCCCGCATAAGGCCCGTGTGTGTCAGGACTGGCCTGGCCCTAAGATAACCTAGAAGTCCCTTAGGCTGTTACAAAGCACAAGTGACATCACTGGTAAGAAAGGGTTTTTACGGCCTAAAAACAATACAAGGTTTTTAAGGAGAAAGGGTCTGCGATAAGCAAATTCTGGGAGATGCGGGCAGGGCCTGACTCACCAGACAGCAAAGGGTTACCAGGCTGTAAAGCCACATCATTCCTGACAGTCCAGGAGGAGCAGCTTCACATCTCCTGCGATTGAAGAGGTAAGCTGTGTGTTTAACTTGCCTGGATTCTCCAGTGGTTATTTGTGTGCACAAAGCCTTTTTGTACTCTACAATCCCCGCACAGCACCCTCCACCCACATCCCATCCTATCACCCATTGGCTACCTGTCCAAGGACAGACACCAGATGAGCAGAAAGAACGCCCTCTGACTGCCTGTGTCTACACTGGTCTCTCTGTCCCACATCAGTCTCCCATCTCTGATCCATATCCAGGCAAGATGGTGGCACCCCAGTTCCAGCCACAAATGCCTGCCCTGATCCTGCCTATGGCAAACTGGACTCAAGGTCCCCACTGTAAGAACAGGGCTTTGCCCTGTTAAAACCAGCCAGGACACTGGAAAGAGATCAGTCTTCGCTCTTCGCTTCTTTGTTTGTCTTGTTTATATTGCAAGCACAAGGTCTTGAGTTTGATTCCAGAGTGATATATATATATATATATATATATATATATATATATATATATATATAAATTTAAAGCTGAACTTTGTGGCACATGACTGTAACCTCAGTACTGGGAAGGTCAACATAGGCATATCCTTGAGGCTCAGGGACCAACTAGCTTACTTGGTCAGTTTCAAACCAATAAGAGAACCTGCCTGCCCTCTCAACTCCCACCCCCCATAGGAAAAAGAAAAAGAAAATGGGAGAAAACATGGATGATAGCTCTGGGGGTGAAGTGCCTGCCTGTAACCCCAACCTTGAAGGGCAGAGACAGGAAGATCCCAAGGACCTGCAAGTCAACCAGCCTAATATAAACGGTGAGCCGCAAGTTCAATGACACACCCTGTCTCAAAAGCCAGGGTAAAGAGTTATACAGGAGGATTCTCATACCAAACTCTCACCTCCGCAAGCATGCACACACACGCACACACGCACACACACACACACACACACGCACACGCACAAGGGTGCACACACAGGCACACACACAAGTATACAATGCCTCAGAAACACCTGAGGTTGTCATCTGACCTCCATAGGCACCTGCACACACATGATCGTATACAACACGTGAACACACACACCAGCCAGGCAGGGTCCAGCCAACTGCTCCTTCTCGTCGCCCCCAGGCCTGGCATCAGTACCAGGAGGCCTTGCTCTTTCAACACCAGTTGCTGGCAGCGGAGGACACCCCACCCTGCAGCTCCTCCCTTCCAAGATGCTGCTTTGCTGTCCCTACATCTGTTGTTTCTGCTCCCAAGAGAGAGCCCAGATTGGGGTCCCATTAGCCTGCTGAGAGGTCTGGCTCTCCAGAAGCCTTTACAGGACCCTTCGCACAAACCACCTGCCCTGGGCCGCCACCTGACCTCTACTTCACTCCAGAGGGAACCTGTGGAACTCCTTAACCGCCAGAGGATCTTTGCACGTCCTTTCTCAACCATTCCCACCGCGCCTCTCCCCCTGTGGGGAGGGAGGGTCGCCTCAGGTCGTTCGTGAGAGCGTCAGAAGCGAGCCCCTCTACTACCGCTATACTGCCTTGTGTTCTCACTGACACTTGCGGGTTCCTGCAGGTGTGTGACTCTGTCACCTCCAAGGGGTGTTCTCCAGCCTGACTGCGCAGCAGGAACAGAAGGGATGTGAGATCCTAGAGGCTTGCCCTACGCCCCGCGGAAGGGGTGTGTGTGGAGGTGCGGGCGGCGCTGCCGCCTCCACCCGGCCTCCCTTTCCTCGCCCTTGCAGGTGGCAATCCACGGAAGAGCACACAGGGCCGGCCGTGTCTGCTGTGGGATCCGGAGCCCCGCTGCCAAGCGCTCGCGCCAAGGACTCCCGTCCTCCCCGGCGGGCAGGATTCTGGGTCGTCTCTGCTCCGTGCCGATGGGCCACCCGAAGCTGCTCTCCCGCCGCGCGCCCTGCCTTCCCCTCGACCGTCCTGCCGGACGCGCGGCCTGCGGGGGTTTGTTTATTGTGCAAGCCTCGGCCGCTGAGCCGGTGCTGGTGCCTGGCGCGTGCCCGTCGGTACGGCGCCAGGAGCGCGCGGAGCGGGGCGGGGCGGGGCTCGGGAGCCGGGACACCTCCGCCCGCCTCGAGGGCCCGGATTGGTCGGGAGGCCGGGAGCGCGCGAGGGCGCGGCTCTCGGGGCCGGGCGGGGGCCACGCGCGGCGCCGGCGGCGGCCGCGGAGGAGCGCGGGGAGGAGCGCGGAGGAGGAGCGCGGGGAGGAGGGTAAGGGGAGGGAGGAGGCGCCCGTCGGGCTCCCTGCAAAGCGGCCTTATTTATCTGGGCACAGCCTCAGCCTCCCCGGTGGGAGGCTCAGGGCGGCAGATCCTCTCCCACCGGGGAGCTCCGCTCCGGACCCTGCCAAGAGGGCCCTGGCGCGGGGCACAGGGCGCCGGGCGCGGGGCGCAGTCGGGCCCTGCTAGCCAGTCCAGCACCTCGGCCGCCTCCGCGCTGGGCGGCTCGGGTGCTGGGCTCCCCATGACGCGAGGTCGCCCGGCGGACAGCGTGGCATGAGCCAGAAGCCCTGGCCGAGGTAAGGTGTGTGTGTGCGCGCGCGGCCAGGCTGCGGGGAGGGGAGGGTCCGGGTCGAGCCATTGCCTCCGCGGAGGCTACAATGAGGAGGGGGCGGGGTGGGGACTTGGGACTGCGCCGCGGCCGCCGCCGCCGCCTGAGCAGGGCTTACGTAATCGCAGCCCCTTCCCCACCTCGCCCTCCAGCCGCTGGGCCAGCGGGTCGCTCCACAGCCCCTCGCCCCAGTGACCCGGCTTGATCGCGCGCCGCTCGCTACCAGCAACGCGGTCAGGCTGTGGCTCGGTACCACAGAACCGCCGAGAGGCTGCGAGGACGCGGAATTGCAGGCCATCAGCCCCCGCTCCTTCTGGCTTGGCTCTGGGCTCTCCCCGCTCCAGCCCTATGAGCCTCAGGCGGACTGGAGGACGTGACAGGTGTTGATACAATTAAACGGGAGGAGCCATGTGGATATGTGGCCTAGGGGCCCTGGACACCTTCTGGACATGAGCTAGTATAGAGCTGCCGCCCACAGGGAAGCAGAGGGAGTGGGCTGGCATGTCTTTGGTTCTAAAGAAGAGAATGGGCCTTGGCCAAGGTTGGAAGACTTCAAAATGGGGAATGGAATGGACACCCTGAGATTGCTGAGCAGGGATGTTAGATCAGTGGGGATCCTCCCCACCCTTCATCCCAGGAGAGAAGATTGCACTGTTGAGGCCTGGAACTGGCCTAGCAGCCCTTCTGCTAGCCCCTCCCAGCCTGAGCCAGCAGCTGACCTCCCAGGAGCAGATGGCAGATGCCACTTCACCCGCTCCCTCCTTGAGGCCTGACTTCCACTGCCATCTTGTCCCATGGCCCATTGACCGGGGTCTGCTCAGGCCGCCCTGGTGCCCCTCAGACACAGGACCCTTTATTCCAGCCCACACTTTGATGAGGTGCTGGACAGCAGCCTCAGAGCAGAAGTGGGGGGGGGGGGTTGGATGGGAGCCTGAATGATTGGGGGCTGCCTAGGTCAGGTCAGAAGCCTGCTGGGGCCTTGATGTCCTTCCTAAAAGTGGCTGGAGGGCTGGGCTGGGAGCCTTTGGGAGGAGATCGAGGGAAATTCAGGGTTGAAAACGTGGGTGGTGCTGAGATAGTTCAGGTTGCAGCTGCCCCATTTCCTGCCACCCTCACTACTTGACTCTCCTGCCACCCTTACCTGGAGTCGGCAAGCCCTGAGGGATTGAGGTAGGCATGTCCCAGAGATGGACGAAGGGGCTTCTGGCTGGCTTCACTCAACTGCCCTTACCGTAATTCCTCCTCTGTGGGAGTCACTAATGTATCTTCCAGGACTGGCACAGGGAAGGGTGGGGGGTGGCAGCAAAGCAGGGGCTGGGACTCCAGTGAGTGGCCCTGAACCTTCCCTGCTAGTGGTCCAATGGCCGAACTGGCGGCAAAGAGCGCAGGTGAGCCTCATTTAGCAGATGTCTAAAGGAGCCTCAGGCCTAGGTCTTGGAGGTCTCACATTCTGTAGAACAGGCGAGACATGATAAGCTGAAGCCCAGCTTCTATTTCCCCAGTGCCTCATGGCCACGTGCCCTCAGCCTGGCCACGGAGCCTCAGTCTGCTGGAGCATCAGCTTGGTTCAATGTGGGCCTATGTACCTCCTAAGCCTAGGGTCTTTCCATCCCCAAATCCCCAGTACACCCCCATAGGCAGCTCCAGCAGGGGGTGGAAGGAGAGTGCTGCCGTTAACACGTGTGAAGTGGCAGGGATGGATGTGAACGTGTCTGAGTCACAGCACTGTCACAGAGCATGCTGCCTGCTGTGCCCCCAAGTTCAGCCACCCTGGTCGTCACTCTGGAGCTGCCACTACAGACTGGGTTTGATGTGTGTTTTCTGGCTACCTTCTTCAAGTATGAGGAGTTGATCGGGGAAGGCTCTATGCAGGCCAGGCATCCGATGTGGCCTCCATCCTGACCTGATGCTCAGAGATGACTATGTCAGAGACAGGGGAAGAGCCCCAGGCTGATAGCTGTGAGGAGTGGGGCATTAGTGGGTGTGTGGTTGGCAGTCTTTAGGACTTCAGGGCTATGGCAGAGATGCTGCTGGATGAGAGCTGTGTATAGAAGCCACTAGCCAGACTGCAGGAAAATACAGGACCCAAGGAGGTAGGAGAAAAGACACAAGATACAACAGATGTGTTCCTGGTCCGAGTGTTTGGGACTCAGAAAGCCTTGGGGTCTTGGGACAAGTTTTAGGCTGCAAAAGGAAGATCCTTCTCTGAGCCTTATTTCCCCCAGTGATGCTCCAGACAGTGATGAGGAGAGGGATGCTGGAGGAGAACAGGGCCTTCCTCTTACCATCTTGGCGGTTCCTGTTTCTTTCTTCTAGGATCAGGACAGGTTTTGGGGGCCGACAGCCATCCAGATTCCTTACCCATCAGACTCCACAAGGGGAACTTAGCCAAAAAGAGCTCTTATTCCCCCACCCCCACCCCGTATCTGCACCTCAGTCTGGGGAGCCAGGTGCTAACACCAATCTAGTTTCTTCTCTAGAAATACCGACCACAATCATACTTGGGATTAAGTTCCTAAGCTGCTCCTGTCCCACTGACCCCCCTCAGGCAGCAGAACCCTTGACTGGTTAGGTGGCCATTTCCTGTTCATTACTTCAGTAGTGCCCAGAAGCCACACAGTCGTGGTGCTATTTGTCTTCAAGGAGTTACCAGGCCAGGGGCAGAGATGACAGTGATGACGACCCCTGTGGTGGGTGACGCCTGGAGGTGCTCTTTTGGAGTATTAAGGGATCCCAGCTATGGAGGCAGGGAGCACCCATCTGCAGCCGAGAAAGCCTACCATTTGGCCAGGTGGAGGGGGATAAGAGAGGAGAAATAAAGGACAGGGGTTTGGCTGGGCAAGGAGTTGGGCTGGAGATGAGACCATGGGACTATTCACATCTCAGGGTCTGGTGACTGGATATGCGCAGAAGAGGCAAGTCCTCCCGTGCAGCGTCAGGGGCTCTGGACTGCCAATCTGAAAACCACCAAGCACTGGAGCTTTCTTCGGGAGCCCCATTGTACCCATCCCGGTCCTTAAGTTCTCTACGGAGAGCAAAGACTACAGTCAGCTCTCGCCAGGAGCACCTTGATGAGGCTTGGGCTCATGTAGACAAGGCAGCTGAGGAGGCTGTCACTGTCGGTCGCCTCCTAGCCAAGGATGGACCCAGGGATCTCAAGCTGCTCTGCAGTCTAGAGCTAACCCAGAATCCCACTCCAAACTGATTGTGGGACACACTGGGCCCGGGACTGGGTTGTGCCAGTTCATCCATCATTCCAGAAGGCTTCTCCTCACCTCCTGAGGTGCTTGTCCGTGAAGGGAGAGGCAGCCTGAGTGACCTGGCCACTGATCCATTTCCCCTCCTAGGAAGCAACTCCAAGCAGGCTTCAGGAGCCACCCCGGGTGGAGAGGGAAGTTGCAGCATGGTAGTGCATGTCTGTAAACCCGGTATGGGAGGCCGTGGCAGGATGGCTGCCAATATAAGGCCAGCCTACATGAGATCCTGCTTCTACAATACCGGGGGTAGGCCCTAGATAGCAGGGCTAGACAGCAGAGCCAGGAGGAGTGAGCCTTGCTGGAGGCCCCCAGTAACCTCTTGCTTACCTGGCAGGAAGGGTCAAGTCTTGCACTGTGTGCTCAGCTTTCTCTGAAAGCCTCAGCCCTCGGGCCCAGGTGTAACTGTTTTCCATTTTTGAACCACAGTACAGAGGGTTGGCTGGCTTGGTTAATGTCACAAGTGGGAGAACAAGGGAGCATCTCCCTAAGCATGAAGCAGGGCTGTCTCTGTGGACTTGCAGCTTCCACTCCGGGCGGGGGTCCTGAATGGGGGATCAGACACGGAGTCTGGTTTCACCTACTTGACCTAAGTCTGGAAGGTAGGAAGGGGGTCGTGTGCTTCTGCAGATGTGAGTTTCCAGAGCTGCAGCGAGGGGCAGGAAGGAGTCCCACAGATGCCCGGGGCATCCACGTGCATCTTCCTCCCCCACCCCCCCAGCAACTCAAGCGCTCCACGTGCACACCCGCGGCTGGGAGCATTTTCAGCCTAAATCGGCACAGCTCTTGGATTATTTCTCCCCTGGCACCGCCTCCGCAGCCTCCTCCAGATCCTAGCCAAGCGGGCGGCTTCTCCCCCTGCCTCTTCCTGTGAAGCTGGGGTTGCCGGAGCCGCGGAGCCAGGGATCATGCCTCCTCCGCTCCGCTGTCTCCGGTGCAGAAAGCTCAGCTGACCCCAGTGAGCTCAGGAGCTGTCCGTGGTGCTGCTCGCGGGGCTCCGAGAGCGCTGGGTCTGCGCCTAGTGGCTGAGGCTAGATGGACAGTCTAGACACAGGCCGCCAGTCAGGGATTTGGCTGTTATTCTGGCTGGGGCTGTCTCTCTAGCGTCAGCGCAGTTCCCCGGAATGTGGGTGGTGATGGATAAGAATTGGAGCGGTTAAGGAAAGATCTCATCCTTTCCCACCAGGGCCGCTGCTGTCCTGCAACAGGCCTGCTTCCCTATATCGAGCTCAGGGAACTGGGGTAACCACCCTCAGACTTCCTTTGCCATGGCATGCAAACTATACACAAGTTCCTTGTGTAAGGACTGGGATACCAACAGTTGCTACCCCTACAGAGGGATATCTGCTGTGAAGCTGAAATACATGATATTCCTGGTATGCATCTGGCAAGTGTTACATTGCTACTTACCGTACTGGCTTTTGTGTGGCTACTCTTGCCTGTTCTTAGGCACATAAGAGCAGCTAAGGGCTGGGAAAACTCCTTTAGGGAAAAACTGGTCTACTCCCTAGGTCTCAAGAGTCATATTGAGAAGGGGAGTAATAGATAATACTGGGGGCTTAGACACGGAGCTAGGTTATTGATCATGAGGAGCATGTTCTGAGGAGACTCCAACCCTCGGTTTTTCCTTCCTCAGAGGTGGGACACTGGCACAGCTTGCCTGTGCGGTGGAAGAAGCAATCGAGGAGATAGTGCTGCAAAATAAAGGTAGGGGATAGTGCTTGTCCACTTCTTCTGTGTCAAGCCAGATTGTGGGAATGGGCGGTCCTTGTCCCTGCATCTCCAGAGGGGGGTCTCAGCCTGAAAGGTAACACGAGCCTTCTCTTCTGAGGGTCTGCATGTTCCAGTGCCCATCCCCTAGGAAGCTTCTTCACACACCCCCTTGTATTGTGCCAGGCTCCCTAGTGAGGTTATGACCCACTGAACCCAGGTATGAGGATATAACAGAGGGCCTGGCTTTGGCTTTTGCTGACACCCCCAAGATTGTAGGGCAAGAAGTTGACAACCCCAACAGGTGGATCCGGTTCAATGTGGGATCACCTATAGACACAGGAAGGGAGATCCTGTCTGGTCCTTTCGTCAGCTCTGGGCCTCTGGGCTTACTCCACCATAGACTATAAATCCCTCCCACAGGAAGGAGTCTGTGGTGTCACCTCCCAGATTTCATGTTGAGGAAGTAGAACCACCAGTGGCTAGCCAAAACCACACATTCAAACTAGGGGCCATCAGGAGTCCAGAGTGTCACATTTAAATCTGCAAGTGAAACCCATGGGAAAAAAAAAAAAAAACCACCTTCCTTCTGTATGTTGGGTGGTGAAAGATTCATTATCTATCTGGGATGCAGAGCAGATAATCATGGCATTAGGAAGATCCCATTGCCCTTTCCCTCCATGCTGTCTATTCACAATGTCCTCTGCAACTCAGTTAGTCCTGGGAGTCTGAGGGATGCTGAGATGATCAGCGACCCAGACCTGCTCTATGAGCAGGTGGCCCTGGCCTCCCTCATGACTTTCCTCCTCCAGCTCCGGTCCAAACATCAGCTCTACCCCTCAACTATTGGCCATGACCTCAGAAAAGCAGTTCACTTGGCCTTGGCCTGCCCTTCCTTGTTTGTACAAGAAATACCATAGCACTGTCCTCATTGGGTGGAGGATTAAAGAGCATGTGTCCTGCAGAGCTGGAGAAGTAGCTCAGTAGCTAAGAGCCCTTGCTGCTTTCACAGAGGGCCGAAAGGCCTGTGACTCCAGTTCCAGGAGACCTGATATTCTCTTCTGACTTCTACCGATGCTAGGCTCATGTGTGATATGCATACATACATGCAAGCAAAACACTGACACATTGCAATTTTTAATTTTTTTTAAATATAAGAAAGCGTGTGCCCAGAGTATCATTGTGCTGGTACTACAATCAACTATATAGGGACAATGCCTGAGCCCCAGAGCTTACTATAGGTGCGCAGATTTTTTTTTTCCTTCAAGACAGTGTTTCTCTGTATAGCCCTGGCTGGCTGTCCTGGAACTCACTTTTTACACCAGACAGGCCTCAAACTCAGCAATATGCCTGCCTCTGCCTTCCAAGTGCTAGGATTGAAGGTGAGTGCCACCACCAGCTGGGCAGGTACACAGATTCTTGAGAGCTGGTCTGTGACTCTGAGGGCTACTGTCGCCTTGGGAAGGAGGAGTCTGAGACTGTTCCATGTTCCAGCACCTTTCTTCAGTTTTTCCGATCCTGCAGGGTAGGCCCCAATAGCAGGCATCAAAGGAACAGGGGTGGAAGGAGCAATTAAGGACTCCATCCCTCCCTAACCTTAAATGGAAATCAAAGCATCAGAAAGCACCTTTGGGCAATGCAGGCTGAGTCAGTGGATGACAGAGGATGTGAGCACTTGGACTAGCTGTGTCTATGGCCAGCCTGCCCCTTGCTGTGCAGTCAGAGAAAAAGGCACGTGCTAGGATCCTCCCTGTTGAGTGGTCCTGGAAGAGAGCAGTCTCAAGAATGAAGAGACAGCTAGCTCTCCAGCTCCTCCAGAGGTCGGCAGACTCATTTATTCCTCCTATCTCATCCACAGAACGTGCAAGGAAAATGTCGAGCCCCGGTATCGATGGTGACCCCAAGCCTCCATGCTTGCCTCGAAATGGTCTGGTGAAGCTGCCTGGCCAGCCCAATGGCCTGGGTGCAGCCAGCATCACCAAGGGCACACCTGCTGCCAAGAACCGCCCTTGCCAGCCACCACCCCCACCCACCCTTCCACCTCCCAGCCTGGCTACGCCACTGTCCCGGGTTGCTCTGGCAGGGGGGCCATGCCCCCCAGCCAGTGGACCAGTGTCAGGCCCAGTGCCTGGACCCCCAGTGGAGCGGCCACCGCTGGCCACAGATGAGAAGATCCTTAATGGGCTCTTCTGGTATTTCTCAGCATGTGAGAAATGCATACTAGCCCAGGTGTGCAAGGCTTGGCGGCGTGTGCTGTATCAGCCCAAGTTCTGGGCAGGCCTCACGCCTGTGCTGCATGCCAAGGAGCTGTACAACGTGCTGCCTGGAGGCGAGAAGGAGTTTGTGAACCTGCAGGGCTTTGCTGCTAGAGGCTTTGAGGGATTCTGCCTAGTTGGTGTCTCTGACTTAGACATCTGCGAGTTCATCGACAACTATGCGCTTTCTAAGAAGGGAGTCAAGGCCATGAGTCTCAAGCGCTCCACCATCACTGACGCTGGCCTAGAGGTGTGTCCCAAATTTGGCCAGGAGTGAATGGGGCTGGAGGGGCTGCAACAGCAGCAACCCTGTGGACATGGGAGGTTGAGGGGCCCAGAGGATACCCAGGTGTACACAGGACAAAAAGTAGCAAGGATGGCATTGCCAGGGCTAATGCAGAGTGAAAATGTGGGCTTGTTAAAAAGTGAGATTAGTCAATCACATGTGGGGTCCTGCTTGCTTGTGAAGCTGGCCTGAGTGGGATGCTGGAAGGAGGGGGAGGGGAGGGACAGCTGAGAGTCTCCTAGGAGCAAGGGTTTGCAGGAGCATCTGGGCACGCTGCCCTGTGCCCCCTCTCCCCCAGGACCTGAATTGTAATTTTAATATTCAAATTATCTGTTCCAAACCCCCACACTGGCCACACCCTGGCTTGTGGGTCCCCTGTGCCCTGCTTCCCTTTTGGAATGTTGGCAAAGTGTAACAAGCAATTTTTAGTGCATTCCTTAGGGTTCAGCCCGATGCATGCTTGCACAAGTCCACACCCGAGAGACCACTGCTTCCAGATTCGCCTCTGCACAGGCAACTCCCACTACCCCAGCAGGACGGTCGCCCAGGCGTGCGTGGGGGAGCTGATTGGTCTGGTCTGGTCTGTACCTGCCTGTAGGTGATGTTGGAGCAGATGCAGGGAGTGGTGCGCCTGGAGCTGTCAGGCTGTAACGATTTCACTGAAGCTGGCCTGTGGTCCAGCCTCAGCGCACGGATCACCTCGCTGAGCGTCAGCGACTGCATCAACGTGGCGGACGATGCCATTGCTGCCATCTCACAACTCCTACCCAACCTGGCAGAGCTAAGCCTTCAGGCCTACCACGTGACTGACACGGCACTGGCCTACTTCACAGCTCGCCAGGGCCACAGCACCCACACTCTGCGCCTGCTTTCCTGCTGGGAGATAACCAACCATGGGGTGGTCAACGTGGTGCACAGCCTGCCCAACCTCACGTCACTCAGCCTCTCAGGCTGCTCTAAGGTCACTGACGATGGCGTGGAGCTTGTAGCTGAGAACCTGCGCAAGTTGCGCAGCCTCGACCTTTCCTGGTGCCCTCGGATCACCGACATGGCACTGGAGTACGTGGCCTGCGACTTGCACCGTCTGGAGGAGCTCGTGCTGGACAGGTGCACACATCCCCACACTCCAGGAACTGGAAGCCTAGAGTGGGTGGTGCCGGTCCACGGGCTTCTTAGGGTGGGGAAGGCCGCAGAGAATAGAGTGCCCAAACTCGGAGCAACTCCGGCATAGCTTGGAGGAAAAGCCATATTCCAGATGGGGAGGGCAGATGTAAGAGCGGGACCGTGGGGCAGGGGCTCGCCCTAGGGACACTGGTGAGAAGGAGGGAGGGACCCAGGTGGGGCTGGGTGAAGTGATTTAAAGGTGGGCAGTCCCCCCCCTCTGGTGCAACTGCAGGTGTGTACGCATCACGGACACTGGCCTCAGCTATCTGTCCACCATGTCGTCCCTCCGCAGCCTCTACCTGCGATGGTGCTGCCAGGTACCTCCGTGGCCCCGGGGATCTGGAACTAAAGAGAGCGGTGGGTAGCGGGGCGGGGAGGCGGGGGAGGGGAACACCAGTACAGAAAATCCTTGAGCCACACTGGGCGCCATTCAGATCCCTCTGTGCAGCCAAACGAAGTCCGATTCCGGGTTTCCCAAGGCCCTCGTGGGTGCTTCCAGGTCTCGCGGGAACCGAAAAAAAAAAACCTTCATTTTGAACCCCTACCTCCTGCCCCTCTGCTGGCTGCAGATCCCGGGCAAGTGGCAATAGTTAACACGACCTCCTCTCACTCCCGCCCAGGTGCAGGACTTCGGGTTGAAGCACCTCTTAGCCATGAGGAGTTTGCGACTCTTGTCTCTAGCAGGTGAGACCCCCTGCATACCTCGTGGGCAGTGACGCCCACTTCACTAGGACCCTCGCCCCGTTGGGGTCCCTTAGGCAGACAGATTCACTTCAAGCTTTAGCAAATCACGTCCCAGGTAGCGGGTTGGAGGAGGGGCAAACTCAAGCCAGGCCCCGCCCTGCTCAGACCCACCCCGGCCGCTCCGGAAGACAGCCTTTTCTGATGCAGATTCCACCCATCCTGTCAGAGTCCCACTCCTCAAGCCCCGTACGGGTCCCGCTTCGTTAAGCCCATTGTAGGACCCGCTCCCAGCAGGCCACTGTCCTCTCCAGCCTTTCCCTCCTACTCAGCACAGTCCAGCCCTTCCGCCGGGCGGAGCTGAGCTGCTGAGCGGCTGCCTGGATGCCTCGCGCTTTGCAGGCTGCCCGCTCCTGACCACCACAGGGCTATCGGGCCTCGTGCAGCTGCAAGAGCTGGAGGAGTTGGAGCTGACCAACTGCCCTGGAGCCACACCCGAGCTCTTCAAGTACTTCTCGCAGCACCTGCCGCGCTGCCTCGTCATTGAATAGCGCAGGCTTTTCAACCCGGCCGCGGGAACCGGCCACGCCCTGGGCAGTAGCCCCTCTTCCATCCCTGCGGGAGCAACACTTCTCCGCCCTGCGCTGGAGGCGGGGCAAGCTGAGGGAAACCCCGCCCCGTGCATCCCTTGCACCTCTGCTCCACTGCTCCATCCCCCGCCTGGGGCAAGAGGCAGAGGGGTCAGCCCCACGCACGCACGCACACTCGGGGACTTTGTGCATGCCCCTCGTGCCCGCACTGCACGCCCGCCCTCCACCATGCCACAGCCGCCGCCATCACTCGCCCGCCTTCTGGGGGTCTAGGTCCTTTGGGGGATGCTTTGAGTACAGACGCCCTCACTGCCTTCCCCACTTCATTCTGCTCTCTGCCTCCCCCTGCTGTCCCCCCATCCCGGGCAGGGCCCGAGGGGATGGAGGGATTAGTCCCTCTGGACTCAGGGGCCTGGAAAAGCCCCAAGGGCCTCCAACATCTTCCACTGCACCACGCCTGGCGCCCTCCAAGGGGTATGAGGTGTCACAGGCCACTGCCAAAGCCATGGCCCCCTGAGGAGCCCAATTTCCCCATGCCTACCTGACCCTATGGCTTCTCTTCTTCCTTGTTGCCATATGGGTCACTTCTTGTCCTCTGTGCACCGCCCCCCACCCCACCCCAATCCTCTTCTTTCCCCTTGGTCTACAGATCTTTGGGCCCTGGCCAGGATGGGACAGATTTAGGAAGATACGATACAGACCTTGTAATAATCAACATTAGCTTAAAGCGGTGCCCATCCCCCCAGAATAGGCACCTGACAGACCCGAATCTGGAGCCACCCACAGGGCTGTCAGGCCTTGGGAGCAGCCCATCCATTCTAGCCCGTCCCCTAGCTGAGCTCAGGCCTCTCAGCACTGTGCTTCACCCTGGATAGGTCTCCTCAGGTGGACTCTGCAGAGGGCCTGGCCAAAGGTCAGGGTCAGCTCTGACCAGCGGTTCTGATCTTCCAGTGTCCAGCACACCCTTTATACCCTAAGGAAGGAGGGCGCCTTTCTGGTCCTCCTTTACCTCTCCCAGCCTCCAAAACCATTGCCTGCCCAAATGGGCTGTGACCATGTTTTGTCAGACCCCAAGACATTTGGAAGTCCTGGGGGACACTGGCATATACGTGGCAGTGCTGAGGACAGAATTGGGAGCCCCTTCTCTCCCAACCGTGAAAGCCCAGGAGACACAGCACCCCACAACCAATCTTGGGACACCCCTATCTGGTTGGAAGAGAGTAACTAATTCCCAGAGAGCCAGAGGGAGAGAGAGAGAGAGAGAGAGAGGAAGAGAGAGAGAGAGAGAGAGAGAGATGCTGTTGACAAAAAGTTAAGAGTTCAACAGCCCAAAGAGTTCCTTGCCCCTGAAGTGTTGGCCGGGGAGGCTCCAGGCTGAAGTGGTCAGGAGCCAGATTTTTCAGCCCCTCTTCCCACAATCCCCCAACAGGGAGGGGGAAGCTGTCCATTTGCCCAAAGTATTAATGCAACTGAAGCTGTGATATTTGCAATGACTATAGGAGGAAAATTTAAGGGGAGAGAGGGACACAAACAAAACCAACCAACCCCTAAAATCATTTTCTTATTGTACATAACGACCTCATTCTCCTGTATATGCGGAAGATATAACCTTATATTTGGTAAGTGTTTCTTGTGCTATTTTATCACGTGACCTGTTTATAAAAATATATATTAAAAAGTTGTACAAACATGAGTCTGGGTTGTTTTTTGGTCACTCAACCAAGTTGTAATGGTTAAATATGTCCTGGATGGCCCAGGTCTCTGGGTTCTCCTGTGTCTCTCAACTCATCAAAGTTGCTTCTTTCCATGAGCATGTAGAGGCTGGTGGCCCAGGGCTGGACTGGAACCTTAGCAACTGACTGACAAAGGTTTTCTAATACCTAAGTGCACAAAAGAGAGCAATGAGTCTGGTGTCAAGATGTATATGCCTTCAGAAGGATCTGGTAGTATCTTGCCCACCATCCTTCAAGAGCAGCAGCAAAGAGTCTTATCCTTGGCTAAGTGAGGGGTTGTAATGCCCTAAAGAGTGCAGTGATACTGGATAGATGGCTCAGTAGTTAAGAGCACTTACTGTTCTTGAAGAAGATCTAGGTTCAGTGCCCAGCACCCACAGCAGGTGACTTTAAGATGCTTAAACTCCAATTCCAGGGAACTGATGGCCTCTGGCCTCTGAGGAAAACTGATTGCACAATAGTGCAATTCAAAACACAGGAATCAGGAGGTGGTGGCTCAGGCCTTTAATCCCAGCACTTGGCAGGCAGAGGCAGGCAGATATATATGAGTTTGAGACTAATCTAGTCTATACAGTGAGTCCAGGACAGGTAAGGCTACACAGAGAAACCTTGTTTCAAAAAACAACACAAAACCCAAAACAAACAAACAAAAAACTCAGACAAGCACACACACAAATAAAGAATAAATAAACAAATAAAAGATCACATTGTGCCAGAAGATCAAGACTACTGCGCCTGAGCCGGGCGTGGTGGCACACGCCTGTAGTCCCAGCATTCTAGGAGGCAGAGGCAGGCAGATCTCTGTGAGTTTGAGATCAGCCTGTTCTACAAAATGAGTCCAGGACAACAAAGGCTATACAGGGAAACCCTGTCTCAAAACAAAAACAAAAACTGTGCCCACTCCAAGAAAAAGGGCAACTAATAAGCAGACTCTAGCCAGCTTGAAAATGGGGCTCTCACAGGCTTTTCCCTCTTCCAAATCCCCTCTGCCTTGCTAAAAACTGTTAGGTCACATTCCGAAAGCTACCCACCGAGGTCTGTTCACTTACTTGGCCACTTCCTCCTCACTTACTTGGCCACTTCCTCCTCCTGAGACTCACCACTAAGGTTCAGCTATCAAAGTATTGCAGTCTTGCAATCAAAAGCCCCTTTTGGCTTACCTAATTAACTAATTAAGTAAACCAATCAAAATTAAACACCTCATCCTAACACGGGGTTTCCTCCTTTTACCTTTACCTATATCATTTGCCTATGAGCCATGTCTGTCTCCTTTCTATCCAGAGGCAGTCCTTTGTCCCCGCCGGGACAAATATCTCTGCCTCCTCTTCCTGTTCCCTTCCCCCTCTCCCTGGTACTCTATCCCTTATTTTGGTCTCTTATTCCCTGCCTTTTGTTCCTTTGGCACAAATAAATCTCCTTTGTGCTGATAACTTGGTCTTGGGGATCCAGAGCCAATACCAGTCTCTTACAACTGAGACTAAACCCAGCCACTGACAGAAGTGGCTGAAAGGCCCTGAAAGTACCAACACAGGTGCAACCACACAAAATAGACAAAATCCACAGTAGACAAAGGAGGCCACATTAGATTGGGGTGGCAGGGATGGTCTAAGATGGTAGGCATTTGAGCTAAGTGCTGAAGGTTGTAAAGGAGACTTGTTTTGCAGGGGTAACATATAGCGTCTGAAACTGTGGAAGAGGAAGAGTGCTCAGGGGGAAGGAAGCTGGGATAGAAGCACACTGAGAAGAGCCAAGAAAGGTACTGCTGCAGATGAGGCGGGACGGTTAGGGCCGTCTAGGACTTATTCACTGTGCAATATAAACCTTGTGTAGAAAAGGTGCCAGGCTGCTTGTTCTGGGTTCAGATCAGGGGAATGATGGGCCCAGGATTCATCAGGAAGTGGCTCCTGAGTTCCGCAGGGGAGGCTGAGGGTAGGGTAAGGCATTGGGGCAGAGCGGTGGAACTCAGGATCTGCTTAGAAAATGACTCCTCCAACGGAGGAGAGGTTTAAGTACTGATACTAAGATTAAAATAAACTGGGGCTGGTTAACATAGCCCAACGGTAACTTGTCTTGCATTAGACTTCCCGGGCTCTATTTTCAGCATCATAAAAAAACTAACCAAACAAATAAAGAAAAGCGGACATATCACCAAGGAAGAACCAGGGAGCCTGCAGAGCCAATTCTGGTCCATTCGCTCGACCAAAGTGCCGCTTGCTGACACGGAACCTTTATGGTAAGGAAAAAGAGTTCCTGCTCACTTCCGGCGGGATGACAATAAGAAAGGGCTTCCGGTGATGGGCGGGGAAATAGCTGAGTCTCTTCCGGTACGGTAACTGAGCGACACTGTGCTTTCGGTAAATGACTGGAGTGCCACCGGGGCAGAGGTTTTCCCAGCACCTGGTTCAGGTCCCGCAGTTTCCGTTGCCCGGTGCAACCAGATACCTGTACTTATTGCTGTAGCGTCTCTTCTGCCTCCCAAGGTCTTTGAATTCAGTCCTCTGGACCCGTCCAGCTCCTCTACCCTTTCCTCTCGGTTTTTCGTTCTCTTGGAAGCCCCGCAATCCTCGGAAGCACGGGGATAACTGTGAGGGCAGAAGCCCCTCTCCCTCACCCCCATCCCACCCCTGGGATCGATTTACTGATCTCACTGATGGAGGATTAACCGCATAGAATCTGGGAAAGTCAGACATGATGCTGACGAACTTCAGGTTAGTCATGGAGCCTTCTGGAGAACTCCAGTGAAACTGAACTTTCTTGAGATGATGATAGGCTGATGGACCATGGCAGGCCGAAAGTTCGAGAGGACCGAACCCGAACTGTTAGGACACCATGGTTGACCGGGCCAGCATACTTCACTGACCTTCCGCCGCTGATACCTGTGCAGTCATGGAAAAGATGTCCCGAGTTACCACAGCCCTGAGTGGCAGTGCACTGACAGGCCGAACCATGCACTGCCACCTGGATGCACCAGCCAATGCCATCAGTGTGTGCCGAGATGCGGCCCAGGTTGTTGTGGCAGGCCGAAGCATCTTCAAGATTTATGCCATTGAGGAGGAGCAGTTCGTGGAGAAGCTAAATTTGCGTGTGGGCCGGAAGCCCTCGCTCAACCTGAGCTGCGCGGATGTGGTCTGGCACCAGATGGACGAGAATCTGCTGGCCACAGCGGCCACCAATGGTGTGGTGGTTACCTGGAACCTAGGCCGGCCGTCCCGCAACAAGCAGGATCAGCTGTTCACAGAACATAAGCGCACGGTGAACAAAGTCTGTTTCCACCCCACGGAGGCCCATGTGCTGCTCAGCGGCTCTCAGGATGGCTTCATGAAATGCTTTGACCTCCGAAGGAAGGACTCTGTCAGCACCTTCTCTGGTGAGGCCCACAGAGGCAGGTTGGGGTAGATATGTGTGTTGGTAGGTGTTAGACCTTATAGGCAGGCTTCATTGGAGGTCCTCAGATGTACTCCCTGAGGCTGAGCAGCGCTGAAAGAGGAAGGTTGGCCCGAAGTGAAAGATGAGTCCAAGCACTGCTGGGTGTTGTTGGGTGTGGCTGATAGGGAAAGTAGCGCCTTCAGATACAGCATTATGAGTGTCGAAGCCTCCCTTTCCCTCGCCTTGCTTCAGCTTGCTTCACTGCAGTGAATCTACCAGAACCTTGAGGAATCTCAGACCAGGGAGACAGAGTGAGGTGGGAAGCACACAGGGCCCCTTTCGTGGCAGGTCTGGCTGGCCGTGTTCAGCCCTGAGCTAGCTTTCCCTGGTCTTTAATGAAACCAAATGATGCACAAGCAGAGCCCCGGGGGTCTTGGAGAATTTGGGAGTTAAGACCAATCTTGAGCTGTCTGTGGCAGGGAAAGACTGGAGGCTCCAGATATGGCGGTCTTTTAAGGTGAATATGGTCTCGGAGCTCTTTGGTCCTTTGGGGCTAACTAGGCAGCTGGTGGAGTATTAAGCAGAGAATGAGACAGACTCTTCCACTCATTGGGTCTTCCATAGGCCTTGGTCCCCGGGGAAGTGTGACAGCCAGGTAGGCTGGGCGCCTATACCCCCAGGGCTCACATGTGTCCTTCTGAGGCAGGTCTACATACAGCTTTGCCTGTGCAGAATCCAGGGAACAGAGCCCTGGAAGTTTGTGCAGAAACTACCTGGCATGCTCTCTCGGGCCTAGGCAGATTCTGGTGATGTCTCCTCAGTCCTCTGTGCTTCCTGGCTTGGCTGCGGGCTGGTGAGCGACACCATTCCAGCTACTCCAAGGGCTCCCCCGTGCCCTGGGGGCCAGCCCCCTCACTTATGCTTCTGCTGATGCATGCCCACAGGCCAGTCTGAGAGCGTGCGGGATGTGCAGTTCAGTATCCGTGACTACTTCACCTTTGCCTCCACCTTTGAGAATGGCAACGTACAGCTCTGGGACATCCGCCGACCTGACCGATGTGAGAGGATGTTCACAGCCCACAATGGGCCTGTCTTCTGCTGTGACTGGCACCCAGAGGACAGGTGTGGTATGGGGATAAGGGAGCCATTAAAAGAGGCTAAAAGAAACATTGGGGCGTGGCAGGGTCTCCCTTCCCCCAAGAGAGGTCACTGAGAGCTTGAGTGGGACCTTCTCGCACAGGGGCTGGCTGGCCACAGGTGGACGTGACAAGATGGTAAAGGTCTGGGACATGACCACACACCGTGCCAAGGAGATGCACTGCGTGCAGACCATCGCGTCAGTGGCCCGAGTCAAATGGCGGCCTGAGTGCCGCCACCACCTGGCCACATGCTCCATGATGGTGGACCACAACATCTATGTATGGGATGTACGCCGGCCCTTCGTGCCAGCTGCCATGTTTGAAGAGCACCGTGATGTCACAACAGGCATCGCCTGGCGACACCCACATGACCCCTCTTTTCTACTCTCCGGTTCCAAAGACAGCACATTATGCCAGCACCTGTTTCGGGATGCCAGCCAGCCTGTTGAGCGTGCCAACCCTGAGGGCCTCTGTTATGGCCTCTTTGGGGATCTGGCCTTTGCAGCCAAGGAGAGCCTGGTGGCTACTGAATCTGGGCGCAAACCCTATGCTGGTGACCGGCGCCCCATCTTCTTCAAGCGAAAGTTAGACGCTGCTGAACCTTTTTCTGGCCTGGCTTCCAGTGCGCTCAGTGTCTTTGAGACAGAGTCTGGTGGTGGCAGCATGAGCTGGTTCGTGGAAACAGCTGAACGTTATGCTCTGGCTGGTCGGCCACTAGCCGAGCTCTGTGATCACAATGCCAAAGTGGCTCGGGAGCTTGGCCGAAACCAGGTATGTTGAGCTGGGGGCCCAGGGGTCATGATTTGGGTCAGACACGGCTACTGTAGTGAGGTGCCATTCCACAACCACCCTGAGCTCAGTCACAGTGCCAGCCTTTGCCAAAGTATTTGGCAATGTAAAGATTTTATGGACCAGCTAGCCCAAACCTTGGGGTCATCCTTGGGGGTGGGGGTGGAGGCCTATGGAGTCAAGTGCCCACAGCCTCCTTTTCTGCCTCACTCTTGGTGTTGGAACTGCCTTCTGCATGCCATCTCTCTTCTCTCCATCAGTCCCCTTACTAATCCTAGCACCAGGTGCCTCACAGTTGCCTAATATAGGATGGAAACTGCCTTTTCCATGTGCCACAGTTTCCCCCATGGTGATGGGTCAGGCCATGGATTGGTATATGATTCTGCTTAGGAGATAGGGGCAGCCAGGTGCCCAGGACTCATGAGTGGTTGGTGCCTGCTCTTAGGTGGCACAGACATGGACCATGCTACGGATTATCTACTGTAGCCCTGGCCTGGTGCCCTCTGCCAATCTCAACCACAGCGTCGGCAAAGGCAGCTCCTGTGGCCTACCACTCATGAACAGGTAGATCCTTGGCCACTTCCTGCCCCTGCTCCAGTGTGGACTGCCGGGGCCTGGCTACCCACAACCTTCTCTACCTCTAGCTTCAATCTGAAGGATATGGGCCCAGGGCTGGGCAGTGAGACACGGCTGGATCGCAGCAAAGGAGACACACGGAGTGACACAGCTCTGCTTGATTCTTCAGCTACGCTCATCACCAATGAGGGTAGGCTGGGATGTGGATGGGGAAAGGGCCAGGGAGCCACTCCCTGAATGACCTCCCTTCCCTGCTGGGCAGATAATGAGGAAACTGAGGGGAGCGATGTGCCTGCTGACTACCTGCTGGGTGATGTAGAAGGAGAAGAGGATGAGTTGTACCCACTGGACGCAGAACATGTGCACCGTGAGTGGAGGCTGGGTGAGATGGAATGGTAGGGAGGGGCCAGACCCAGAACATGCCTCTGAGAGTAGCAGCTGATAGAGCGGGGAGCCTAGGCTCAGGACCATCTCTCCTCACCCCCGCCTCCCAGCCGAGGAGCCTGAATATGTGCTGCCACAGGAGGCCTTCCCACTACGTCACGAGATTGTGGACACACCCTCCGGGCCTGAGCACCTGCAGGACAAGGCTGACTCTCCGCATGTCAGTGGCAATGAGGCGGACTCAGCTTCGCTGGCGCCGGTGGACTCCTCCTCCTCTCTCCTCTCTGTCTCACACGCGCTCTACGACAGCCGCCTGCCGCCCGACTTCTTCAGTGTATTGGTCCAGGACATGTTGCGCTTCTATGCTGAGCAGGGCGATGTGCAGATGGCTGTGTCTGTCCTCATCGTGCTGGGTGAGAGAGTGCGCAAGGACATTGACGAGCAGACCCAGGTGTGTTGTGGGCCAGGGAGGGTCTCCCTGGACTAGCTGCTTGTCCCCTCACCTGAGCCTGTTCCTTTCCCACCATAGCCCCTACCCCAGTTTACCCGGAAGTCCTAACCTGAGCCTGTCCCCTCCCCCAGGAGCACTGGTACACGTCCTACATCGACCTGCTGCAGCGCTTCTGCCTCTGGAATGTGTCCAATGAAGTGGTGAAGCTGAGCACCAGCAGGGCAGTCAGCTGCCTCAACCAAGCCTCCACCACCCTGCATGTCAACTGCAGTCACTGCAAGCGGCCCATGAGCAGCCGAGGCTGGGTCTGCGACAGGTGCAGCAGCGGCAGGGCCGGTGGGGGTGGGGGGTGGGAGGGAGGCACCCATGAGCTCCCCAGCTGAACAGCTCTCCCATTCTCAGGTGCCACCGCTGTGCCAGCATGTGTGCTGTCTGCCATCACGTGGTTAAAGGTCTGTTTGTGTGGTGTCAAGGTTGCAGTCATGGTGGCCATCTTCAACACATCATGAAATGGCTGGAAGGCAGCTCCCAGTGCCCTGCAGGCTGCGGCCATCTCTGCGAATACTCGTGATCTGGCCTTCCCTGAGCCTGATGCTTGACGCTTCCTCAGCTTGACGCTGATGTCCACCCGACTAGACCCACAGCCTCTTACCCATCCCATGTGCCAGGATGGAAGGTGGCTGCAACCTAGTAACCTAATAAAACGCAGGAGCTGCTCTTTGGCCACTTGTCACTTTGATTGCGTCTTAGGTGGGAACTTCCTAGCAGGAGGGAACTTCCGGTAGGGGCGCTGTAGCCACGGTAACCCGCAGTAGTCAATGGCTGCTCAACAGTTTTCCCTCTCCCTTGAGGAAATTGAAGGGGGGGATGGTGTGTGAGTGTGTGTTTGAGTGTGTCTATCTGTGTAGGCGCGCGCGTGTGTATTAAAGGAGGATCCCATGGCCGGGCGGCCTGCTGCTTGCATGTGGCTACAGCAGTCGGGCGGTAAGCCAATGGCTCGTGGTTACGCAAGTGTCGACGGAACTCCCAGCGTGCTGCGCGCCTGCATCCGCACGTTCATGGCGGCGGCCGGACGGCTAGGGCCCCTTTCATTCTTTGTACTATGGACCACGGTGACTGTGGTTCTGCATGGCTCTGGCGAAGGGGGATGGTGAGCTTCAGGGAATGGGCGGCAGGAGGGAGCCTGAGCTCAAAGCCCCGGCAGACTAAACTTGACCCATTGTCTCCCCCCTCCCCCCGCAGGCGGCAGAGTGGGATGGGGACTGCAGGAGCAGTCGAGGAGGAGCGTTGCACGGTGGAACGCAGAGCACACCTCACGTACTCCGAATTCATGCAGCAGTATGTGTCCCTGCCCCCAGGTCTCTAGGCATACCCCCAAGCATGGTCTTTGGCTGCAGCGGTCATACCCTCACTGCCTACCCATACAGAAGGGGGCCCTATAGGGTGCCACCTCCATACAACAAGCTGCCCTTTCTCCCTCAGCTATGCTTTCCTCAAGCCAGTCATCTTGCAGGGACTCACGGACAACTCGGTGAGTATTCCTAGCCACGTGGGCAGCTGGTGCTGACTGACCAGGTGCTCAGTTCTCTCATCCTCCATTCCCAGAGGTTCCGGGCCTTATGCTCCCGGGAAAACCTGCTAGCCTCCTTTGGAGACAAAGTTGTTCGTCTGAGTACAGCCAACACCTACTCCTACCAGAAAGGTGAGCTGTCACGCCCAAGGCCTGCCTGCTTGCCAGCACCCCAAAGGCAGGACTGACTAGTCCTGACTGACACTTCTTGCAGTGGACCTGCCTTTCCAAGAGTATGTGGAGCAGCTGCTGTACCCCCAGGATCCTACATCCTTGGGCAATGGTGAGCCAGACCTGGGCAGCAGGGGGAGTGGCCCCTCTACCCCCGTCCACTGCTGCAGTGTTCTGGACTCTCATCTCCTCTGGCAGACACCCTGTACTTTTTTGGAGACAACAACTTTACTGAGTGGGCACCACTATTCCAGCATTATTCTCCGCCTCCATTTCGTCTACTGGGAACCATCCCTGCTTACAGCTTTGGGATTGCAGGTGGGTACTCCTTCCAAACAGAGTTGGGGAAGCCCACCTATGTTTCGTTCATCAGCTATTCACAACTGATCCCACAGGGGCTGGATCTGGGGTACCCTTCCACTGGCATGGGCCTGGCTTCTCAGAGGTGATCTATGGTCGGAAGGTTAGTACAAGGATGGGAGTTAAAGTTTGTGCGCTCTGTAGTCCAGAGCGCACAAGAGTGACTTTACACCCCTGCCTCCAGCGTTGGTTCCTCTACCCTCCTGAGAAGACACCAGAGTTCCACCCCAACAAGACCACATTGGCCTGGCTCCTGGAAATATACCCATCCCTAGTCCCATCAGCTCGGCCCCTGGAATGTACCATCCAGGCTGGTGAAGTCAGTGGCTGGTAGGTGGGGGTTGGGCCAACCCAAAAAGCCCCGGCCAATCTTTGCACTCTTTCCTCCCAGGTGCTGTACTTCCCTGACAGGTGGTGGCATGCCACACTCAATCTGGACACCAGCGTCTTCATATCTACCTTCCTTGGCTAGCCAAACAGGCAGCTGGCAAGCCCCCTGCACCAGCACATGCCAATGTAGTGCTCACAGACTTTATTACAGGACAGTGGCAGCAGCAGCAACCTCAGCCCACCCTCACCCACTTTCCAGCCCAGAAGGGGGACAAGGGAGGCTCATGGCCCAGCAAGGGGTATGCCGAGAAGGGGAGCAGTTCAGAACCCATCAGGAGGACTGATGGGGGCAGGCCCAGGGACTCAAACTATATACAGGGACTGGAGCTTCTGTCCCCAGACCCTCCTGGGCCAGGGTGCCAGGTAGGACATGGGGCCTCAGTAGTCCTCTACCCAGCCGTTCTCAGAGATGAATGCATCAATGACTTCCTTCATGGCCAAGTTGGGGATGAGCTGTTCCTGGGTCAGAGGGCTCCGGGTCACAGGGTCAAAGTGACCCACACGCTGCAACAACAACAGAGTCAGAGTGTCCAACGGGATGGGCGTGCCCCTGATCCTGGGCCCAAGGCACCACAGACCCTCACCTGTAGGTGCTCCTCAATGTCCTTCCGGTCATAGGTGATACCACTGGGTGTGATGCAGGGTTCCCGCATCAGCTCAAAGCTTATCTTGCCACACAAGTAGTCAGGGATATCTCGCTTCTACAGCATAATGGGAGAGACTGTCTGCAACTGGGAAAGGGAGTCACTGGACAGCGCCTGCCCATGGCTTAAAGGAATACTCACCTTTCTTTTCTCGTCCACCTGAGAGAAGAGCTCATCCATGTCTGCCAAGTATTTATCCTGCAGAGTTGAGTGCCATGTGTGGGCAACTCATATCTCCTCCACACAGACACACACACCCTATGTCCACCAGGGCACTCATGTCATGCATGGGCCAACAGAATCCACCATAGGTTGGGGCACTTTCCATGCCACACACAAAAACACACACACAATGACCCACATGTGGACTAGGGGCACCCTCACGTGCTTGGCCTCAATGCAGGCCTGCTGGGCACGGATGTGGCCATCATCTTCATCACCCTCATGGTTCCGCTGACACTCTTCCAGTTCCCTGGGTGTTAACCAGAAGCCAGTCAGCAATGTCCCTGACCAGGAAAAGGACCGAGCCCTCCCCATCTCAGGCCTCTTTCCTCCTGGGCTTCCCATTTGTGCCAGATGCTGTCCTTCAATAAACACTTGTGTTGATGACTCACTGTCAACCTGAGAGAGTAGCCTGTTGGGGGCGGGACCCACCTCTCTCGCTCAGCAGCAATGAGCCTGGTGAGATAAGAGTGCAGCTCACTCTCCTGGTGGATGCGACGTTCCTCAATACTGTTCCAGCGCTTCTTCTTAGCAATGCGAAGGGCACTAGGAATATCATCCCCAAAGTTGAGTCGTTGCTCCTTGGCCAAACTATAGGCTGGGGGAGTGGACACTTTAGTAGGTTACATTTGTCAGCAATCCTAGCCCCATGGTGCCCACAACCTGGCATCTTGTCAGCCCACCTCGCTGCAGATTGGCAATGGCCTCATCATAACTCTCCATCTCTAGCTGGCACTGCCCAAGGAAGAAGTGCGCCTTCACAGACTGCCCATCCAGCTCCAGGGCTCTCCGGCAGTCAGCAAGTGCTTGTTCAGGCTGCTGCATCTTCAGATAGCACAGGGCCCGGTTGGTGTAGTACACTGCCACAAGTGGGTTCCGGGTCTGGAGACCAAGGCCAGGTAACAAAGAGTGTGTGCTCATCTGGACCCCTCTCACCTAGCAAGCCGAAAGCTAACGATCGGGTAATGCTCCAGCTCTGGGGCCCATGGCTGGAATCGGGAAACTGGAGATATCCGAATTGTCAGATCTCTGGACCCTGTGTTGTGCTCTTTTGACTCCAACTGCTTTTGTGAAAATCTCCCAGAACCTCTCTCCTGGCTTTGGGCATGGGAGCCTCAAGGGGCAAGGGTTCTTGGTGTTATCCTAGCCTGCCTCAACCAAGCACCCACTCGCCAGTTCCCAGTCAACCAGCCCTGGGCTCGGGAACTGCCATTCGGAGGCCGGGGGGACAAGCTAGGCTTCGAGTCCCCGCTGCCAGAAATCAGCCCGGAATCACAGAACAGGGAGGCACATCGGGCCCCGCCCCCGCCCCCGCCCCCCGCACTCACGATGGCGCGGCCGTAGCAGGCCGCCGCCTCCGGGTACTTGCGGCCCACGAAGAGCCGGTTCCCCTGCTCCTTGAGCTCCTGCGCACTCGGGCTTTTATCAGGGCTGCCGCCGCCAGTGCCCAGCCGCGCGCCGCCCTCCTTTTCCTCCTTGCCCTTCATGGCGCCGCGCGGCACGGCTTGGGCTCCGCGCCCGGCCACCTAGATCTCGCAGCCCGCGCAGCGATCAGCTCCGCCCGATCGGCGATCCGCCACCGGAACTTCCGGCGTGGGGCGGAGCTGGCATGAGGACACGTGAGCAAAGGCGGAGCCTCGCGGCTAGGGAGCTGGTTCGCAAAGCTCTGCGTTGTGCTGCGGCCCCGCTCTCTACCGGCCCCGCCCCACAGTAACCAGCCTACCCCTCACTAGTCAGTCCAAGGCTCCGCCCCCTTGGCCTTCAAGTCCCGCCCTCCTGCCCACTCCAAGCGAACGTGGCAGCGGTCCTTGGGAAGGGGCGCACCGAGCGCGGCCTTACACGGGAGTCTGGGAGCGTCTGGACCGCTGGTAGGACGGCGGAACTGAGGGAAGGAGAGGGAGGGAGGCCAATAGGTCAGACCGCCCTCGCGGGGCTTCCCCGGGAATCGGGAGGAGCAGCCCGCGGCCATTAATGGCTGAGAAGCAAGCACGTGACACGTTGACACGAAAGGACCTGCTGCGGTTGCTATAGAGGAAGCTGCGGGTGTGCGGCTGGACTGTCCCCTTCTTGCGGTCATAGGGAGGAGCTTCTTCAAGGGCGGGGCCAGGAGGTTTCCTTGGAGAGCGGCTGCACCAAGACCCTTTGACCCCATAGTCTGTAGATAGGCCATTTCTAGCCGCTGCTGCGTCAGCTTTTGGCTGCCAACCCCCCCCACCCCGAACTCGGAGGAGCAGAACTCGGCTTTCTGCCGATGTGCGCCCCGCAGTCAAACTTCGCTGCCTGGTTTCTGGCACTGCCTCGAGTGAGTAGGGAACTTTTTTTTTCCCCCCAAGTTGGGTGGGGATTCTAGGAGGTTTAGCTCAAAGAAGCTATCCCCAGCCCTCCCCCCCCCCCCCCCCCCCCCCCCCCGCCCGTCACTCCTTGCAGTGGTTCTGGCGGCAGGGGTTTCTGAAGGAGCCGCTTTTGTATACGAAGAGGCTTTGGACACAGTGCCTAGTTTGCTAAGCCTGCAGTACACACTCAAGCACTTTTTGCTGCTTGTGTCCCTGGGGCAAGAATGCACTGTAATCTCTGAGCCAAGGTGAGCCAGTTGCTGAGGTCTGGGCCGTCACCCAGAACCCCATCAGGGTTCAAGTGGCTAGTAACTCGACCCCAGAACCCTTGTGGTCCTCACTAGTGAGTGCCTTAAGGCTGTAGACGCTTCATCTTGTGGAGACGAGACGGCACTGCAGACTATGGGGCAGAAGCTATATACCTGGACCCACTCCTGAACTTCACCCCAACTAGGCCTCCCCTGCCAGGAATTACAGGACCCAGGCCAAGTGAACCTGCCTCTGCCGTGGGCTTGCCTTTGGAAGGGAGGCTGAAAGAACAAGAGATTGGAAGCTCTTGGAGCACAATAAACCGTTGCTGAACTTGGCCTGACCTGGAAGTCCACAGTCTTTTCCCAAGTGCCCCTGTGTGGACTCTTTTGGCCCTAGCTAGGAGGAGTAAAACCACCACCACCTCATGACAGGTGCAGAGCTTCAAGGGAGAAGGGAGTACAGACCATCCTGGAGGGGAGGTGTCCCATACAGTCTGGGTGAAGGGGCAGACAAGCTTGCAGAGCCCCAGGACAGCTACCTAGTGCTGTGTAAAATATTTATTCATTCTCCAAAAAGGCTCAGACTGCAAGTCCTGGGGGTCTGTGGGGAAGGAGGGGGGTCTCCTCTAGGGTCACATTCAAGGACCTCCACCCAGCCTTGGCCTAGTAGCACCCCTCCCCCCGGAAAGGCCTTGGGAGGGGCAGCAAGGTCTTCGGAAAGACTTGGCCTCAACCTGGGGGATCACAGGGCCTGCCTGCCCCTGTGGGGAAAAGCAGCTGAGAGGTCCATTCATAGAGGGCAGACATGCAGGCCCACCTGGTGGCTGACCCACTGCAGGCCAGGCTCTAGCCATATGGCCCTAGGGAGCAGGTCATGGTGGAGGGGGGATATCGGCACCCAGCAGGTCATAGGCAAAGACGTTCCAGAAGATGGCGAAAAGCAGGAAGGTGCCATAGGCAAGTAGCACCACCCACCAGCCGCACTGGTCCCTCAGGCGCTCCTCATAGCTCCGAAGGATGGTAAGGCCCATGCTTACACCTACCACTGCACCAGCCAGGTGTGCCATGAAGCTGGGCTGTGGACCTGAGGCAGGCAGTGGCGGGGAGAAGCGGAGCCACACAGCCCGGCCCACTTCGGAACTCACTGCAGAGGGAGCAACAGGTGGGAGGGGCCCCGTCTGCAGGAGGAGGGCCTCCCAGCGCCCCACCTGCCCCACTACTCACTGCACACCAGAGCCAGCACCATCCTCAGCAGCTTGTACGGACACCGCATCCCAGCCCAGTTCTGATGGGGGCAGGCAGACAGGCTGTGAAGCGTGTCCAGGGGGCCCCTTCCCGCCTCCCCAGGAGGGCAGTCCCATTACCATGACAACATTGGCCAGGTGTGCTGAGCACAGGGCATAGACCCCTCCAGAGCCCCCTACCACAGGGGCGCGCATGTCTGTGATAGAGACAGTCAGGGAGCCTGTGGGCAAAGGGAGAGGTAAGGGCACAGCTGGCCCTCACTTCACCAAGCGAAGTAAACGGGGACCCACCCACTGGCGTGCTTGTCTCACCTGCCAGCACACCTGCCAGGTAGAGCAGGCTGATGCGAAGTACGCCGTGTACCATCTCCAGGGGCACCCCAATCATCAGCTGCAAGAG